TCAATGGTTCATCATTTGCAAATAGAACACAACTCATTTTTTGGAGATGACTGACTCAGAGAATAAACTTTAAACCCTGCCTCCTTGCAATCTAGGACCAGAATGAGGGTTCATCTTTTTCTTTCCTAATAATTTTCCATACTACTTCTCTCCATAATCCCTTTGTACCACACTATCTAGTTTCAAATTATTTTAGTTTGAGTTGAATTTCTTTTCTATAGTTTTCTTCAACATTTTAATCATTATCATAGCCTTAAGAAAAAAAGTATATAGAAAAATTATTGAATATCTTTAATGATTTAATTGTGTTGCAAAGATAATTCAGAGCTCTCCATGAAGATTATTTGGCTAATTTTACATATATATTTAATGTTCTTCTAAATATTCTCTCTCTTGAGAGTTTTGCACTTTGACTTTGAAAAAATATTCTTCCTTCTTTAGTAATTCTCTTTCTCTTTCCTCTCTTTTTCTTCCATTCTTTATTCCTTAATTCAAACATGTGCACATCCACTCAGTTAAAATTTAAAGGTAAACATTCTACTAGTACTTACATAAGCCAGGAGCAATTAAATGCCAACTAGATTGGCTTGGCATAGTTTTACATCATAGAATCACAAAAATGTATGCAATAGAAAAAGTAATATGTGGTATTTTGAAAATATTATGCAATAAACACTATGCTGCAAGTTTTTGTTTGTTTATCATGTGATATTTATGTTGAGGAAAAGAAATATGAGCTGTTTTTAGATATTTTCGTGATTTAACTTTGAAACAAAAGATTTCCTACTACTAGAAATAATTTCCATGTTTTTAATCATTTGCTTTCCTTTTTTCAGGGATTACTCCACTCAGCAGTCTGTTGTGCAGAGCCTGAAAACCATTGTTACAGATATTTTGCTCTGATTTCCAGTTATTAAGGTGGGAGAGTAAGTCTCATCCCTATTTTTCAGTCGCGGCTGGTAGCAGAAATCCCTGATTTATTTCTGCATTTGTTTTAGTTTAAAAAAATTGAAGAGAGTAATTCCTGATTCACAAAGAACTGTAGTTACAGAACTATTGTGTCCGTCCATTCGCACATTGCTAGAAACAACTACCTGAAACTGGGTAATTTATAAAGAAAAGAGATTTATGCTGGGCGCGGTGGCTCAAGCCTGTAATCCCAGTACTTTGGGAGGCCGAGACGGGTGGATCACAAGGTCAAGAGATCGAGACCATCCTGGTCAACATGGTGAAACCCTGTCTCTACTAAAACTACAAAAAATTAGCTGGGCATGGTGGGGCCTGCCTGTAATCCCAGCTACTTGGGAGGCCGAGGCAGGAGAATTGCCTGAATCCAAGAGGCAGAGGTTGCGGTGAGCTGAGATCGCGCCATTGCACTCCAGCATGGGTAACAAGAGGGAAACTCCATCTCAAAAAGAAAAAAAAAAAAAAAAAAAAAAAGCAAGAAGGAAATAAAGAAAAGAGATTTAATTGATGCAAGATTCCACAGGCTGTAAATGAAGCATGGCTGTGGAGGTCTCAGTTAACTTAGAATCATGGCGGAGGGTGAAGGGAAAGCAAGAATGTCCTACATGGCTGGAGTGGGAGGAAGAGAGCAAAGGGGAAGGTACTACATACTTTTAATTGACCATATCTCCTGAAAACTCACTATCACAAGAACAGCAAAAGGGCAATCCATCCCCATGATCCAATCACTTCCTACCAGGCCCCTCCTCCAATACTGGGGATTGACTATAATTCAACATGAGATTTGGGCAGACCCACAAATCCAAACCATACCATTTCACCCCTGACTCCTCCTCCTCTGGAATCTCATGTCCTTCTCATATTGCAAAATACAATCATCCCTTCTCAGCAGTCCCCCAAGTCTTAATTCATTTCAGCATTAATTCAGAAGTCCACAGTCCAAAGTCTCCTGAGACAAGGCAAGTTCCTTTCACCTATGAGAGAACTAGCCTGTCGCTTGAAGCTTTGAGGCCAGGCATTGACCTCTCTTCAGCTGTGAAAGTCCCTGATGGCGTTATCTTCTAATCAAAGGCTGTTTTGTCTACATAGAAAAGCTGTTGTTTAATGTAGCTACAATTTATCAAAGATCTTAGCTGGATCTTCTGGATAGGTTCCCGCGGTTTCTGTATCAGCACTTGCTTCTTCCCTTGCACTTTCATGTTGTGGAGACAGCTTCTTTCTATAAGCCTCATGAACCAACCTCTTCTAGTTTCAATTTTTTCTTCATCAGCTTTCTCATCTCTTTCTTTCAGCCTTCACAGAATTGAAGAGAGTTAGAGTCTTCTTCTGGATTAGGTTTTGGCTTAAGGAAATCTGGCTTATTTGACCTTCTGTCTAGACCATTCTGATTTTCACCACATCAGCAATAGGAGTTTTTCACTTTCTTATCATTTGTATGTTTGCTGGAGGAGCACTTTTAGTTTTCTTCAACAACTTTTTCTTTGCATTCACAAATTGTCTGTTTTTGGCACACAGGACATAGCTTTTGGCTTATCTTGGCTTTTGATATACCCTCCTCACTAAGCTTAATAATTTATAGCTTTTGCTTTAACGTGAGAGATATGAGATTCTTCCTTCCATTGGAATATTTAGAGGTTATCATAGGGTTATTAACTTACCCAATTTCCATAATATTTTTTCCTCAGGTAATAGGGAGGCCTGAGGAGATGGAGAGAGATGGGAATGTCCAGTTGGTAGAGGAGTCGGAATACACAGAACGTTTACTGATTAAGTTAGCCATCTTATATATTGTGGGCACAGTTTGGGTGCCCCAGTACAATTGCAATAATAGCATGAAAGATCACTGATGACAGATCACCATAACAGATAAATTAATAATAAAAAAACAACTTTGAAGTACTGTGGGAATTACCAAAATGTGACACAGAGACACAAAGTGAGGCCATGCTATTAGAAAAAGAACACCTATAGACTTGTGGATGCAGTAGTTCTATAAACCTTCAATTTGTAAAAAAAAAAAAAAAAAAAAAACCCACAAAACATAATACAAAGTACAACAAAATAAAGTGCAATGAAATGAGGTATGTCTATGTTTTTATATTACCTACTAAGCACTTGGTGAGGTGCATGTCACAAAGGAAATAGTCATATGTCATTGGGGAATAAATGAACAAAATAATCACATAAAATATACTTATGCTATTTATTATGGTTCATATTGCCTTTACTGTCTCAATATTAGAACTATCACAAACAGAATTTTGGCCATTTTTCTAAATTGAAAGTACTTGAAGGGGAGGAACATTCCTATTATACCTTTGAATCATTGAATTTCTGTCTTCACCAGTATATAGGAAGTATTTAGATTGGTGCAAAAGTAACTGTGGTTTTTGCCAATGAAAGTAAGGCCAAAAATTGTAACTACTTTTGCACCAACCTAATACATATAAAATGTTAATAGTGTTCAAGCATCTCATTCTGCAGATGAGGTAAGTAGGGCCAGGAAATACAAACTAGTTGTAATAATATTAGGTTGCCTGAGTCCTGTCCTAGCTCCCATTCACTCATTCTGTGAAGAATTATGAATTCCTATTTTCTGTCTACTATTTTCAAAGTTAAAATTATCAATGATTCTGTAATAAGTAATTGCTGGTCATGGTTTGATAGTCTGGATTGACCTTTCAAATTTAAAGATATCACTGTACAGAATTATACTCAGTATCAACTTCAGCATGCTGACTAATTTTGTTGATAAAGTTTAATATTTTAGAATAAAGGGGATTTCTAATGAAGTTTACATTAAGTAAACCCTAGTTAGGTCAAATTTTATTAAGTTTATGTTAATTATGACCTTTATTGGAATACCACCTTATCCTTAAAATAATTATTTTCAAAAGCATGAGAAAACAGGTTCCAGCAACTTTTTAAGAAGAAAATGTCTCCGTTAATCAACTTTATCTCTTTCTAGATCTTTTTGAGAAAATATGTCTCTTAGAACAAAGATGAACTTAAGTAGCGACAATTAATAAACTAGATGTTAAAAAGTGGTGGCAGAGATCTTAGAAATGTAAAGAAAACAGTAGAAAATCTTATATGCCAAGGAAATTAGGAAGCTGCATTGCTGACAGAGGCAACAACTGGATAGGAGTCCAAAGGGAAGGAGGCTTGGTCCTAATATTGGCTACTATTGATCTAATGACTTCATATTGGCTTGGGAATTGATGTTTGTGATTGATCATTGATCTTTCTACTTCACAGTGTATTATTGAGAATAATATATGGTTCTTAATCATCTAAGTATTCATAATATGTGGCTCAGCATTAATAAATAAACAATATAATGAATGAATCAATGAATGGATGGACAATAATATGAAAATGCATAGATTTTTTTCCTATAGGAGCCATTAAATTTTGAGTCAGCTTCCGTTATGTACATACACAACCTGAAGAGTAGTTTCAGTAACATGTTAAAAGTAAATGTTGGCCAGGCAAGGTGGCTCACACCTGTAATCCCAGTACTTTGGGAGACCAAAGTGATTACTATATCACTGATTTGTGATTATTGTTACAAACATTCAATTATTTGCAATTCAAAATAAGAATCAAAGGGTTAACAGTCTTGTTTGGAACATTTTGGATTCATATTAGAAGGAAATATTACTGTATTCCTTATGTTACTCACATCCATTCAAATGCTTTAAAATGGGAAACATTAGCAGAATGGAAAATCATAACTAACAAATCTTAGATGTACAAGAGGGAGAGATAGGTTTTAGACAAATTTTTTTATTTTTTCCTAAAGGAGAGCAAAAAGAATTGTTTTAACAATGATTAAATCAAGATGTAGATGAATAGCACTATTACTTAGAATTTGGGTGAGCCTAATGATGTCACTCTTGGGAATGGACCTAGAGGTTAGGCCAGAGATTTCACTTTCTGTTACTCTGTTAGTTGTCATTTGAATGCCGTCTCCTTCCCGAACAGGCACATACTTATGCTTTCAATTGTGAAACTATTAATAGTTTTTACATGCCAAAGAGTTTTGAATTGTATGTCTTAACTAATAAACAAAAACATTTTGACGTTTGCAAAATCCTTTAGCAACATGTAAACTCACCCATGTTTGGACAAATCTCAGAAAACTGGCATCCAGCTACTTCCACCTACAAAAAAAAAAAAAAAAAACAGGATGGAAAAGAAAAAAAAAAAAGCTCTGCTGGGCACTGCATTAAATCAACTCATCCTAAAATACGTATTTATTATTGCTGTCCCAAATAATTCCTAAAACTCTAATTCTTAATATAGAACTCTATTAAAAGGCAATCAAAATGAAGTAAAATGATTTAACTCCACCAAAAACGATCCTCTATTTTGTGGTCATTGGTTATTATTCTGGATGTACTGTTTATCCAACAGCAATTTTTAAATTGACTATTATATGCACAGCTTGGGGGTTTGCATGTTTGAGGTTCGAGGGGGTGTGGATACTGGTGTGTGTGTGTGTGTGTGTGTGTGTGTGTGTGTGTGTGTGCATAGCATGGAATTCTAAGTATATAGTTCATTAATCTATTTTCTTCAACTTCCTGTTAACAATTCTATCATAATTTAATGAAGATGTAAATAATTCCTTTAAAAAATGAGAATGCTAATTTTGAGCTCATGCAATACCAGGGATTTGGCATCTGAACAGGAGGCTTTCTACTATCAGTGTGTTGCTTTCCTGTAATCACTTTACCTTCATCAGCAAGTGTTTTTAGAGAGTCAGTGACCCATTGATAGGTGCACTCCTGGTGTACGCAGCACTGTTGTTTAACACTGTGAAATTCTGCCTGCCAGACGGTGCCACAGGGAAACAGCATCACTGGCAGGTGGCTGGTTTGCCTTGATGTTTCGATACCTATTTCTAGAGAACATTCTTTCCCCTATTTTTCTGTTTTCTCTCTCTTACAAAAAGCTGCCTTCCCAAGAGCCTTCCACTGATGTCATGAACCAGGGTTCATTTCTGTCAGTTCTCAGGTTGAGACCCCATCACAGAGTAATGTCCAAACATGAGAAATTGTGATAATTAAACTTCTTTTTTTCCTTTGCACAGAATAACTAATTGTAAAAATTGGCAGTCAGCCTGCCATTTGAAAGTGAAGAAAACATCTTGTTTTAACATCTGAGCAGGGATTTTTTTTTTGTAATCTGTAAACAATTGGACCATATGTAGTGTGATGGGAAACATGAAGGCTGTGATAGAACATCATTGAAGGAACCTTGTGTTTAATCACTGTTCTTTGATTCACTGAAATAGAAATTAGCTTTTTAAGTTCTGGGTTTTATCATGAATTTAAAGAGACAGTTTTTCTTAAAATATCAAACTATACTGACAATTTACCAAGTGATGACCAAGAGAAGAAAGGGAATTTCAATTTTTTTAATGTAAATATGTTTTGAAGACACCTAAACAGGTAACAGATGTAGCATGGGCTTTTACAGCCTTTGTTTGGGCCAGCAATTCACTTCAGTAATACAAAGAATCTCCACACAATATGGTTCAACTCTTAGAAGGTGAATTTTTTTCCTAAATAAATTCTAGTGATGAAACTGAAGTCAGGCAAAATTACCACCACTGATTAAGTTAAAACTTAAAAAAAATAAGATATGCCCCTCTCTTAATTTTGCTATATTTTCCAGCTCATTATGTATATAGCATGGACAAATTAACTATGGTGTTAAAAAAGGGTGGCTGCTGAAATTCAGAGTAACTGTTGAAATCCTTGTATCTTATGATACATAATTATATGTATAATTATTTATGAGACAAATGGTATATATGGTATTATAGATACCACGATTACATTTCTTTACATTCAATTGATAATACTAAAGAAAATAATATGACCAAGTGAATTTTGAAATAATCATAAGGGCAACAGTCTGTATCATTGTGTAAAAGAAAAACGTTTGAAGCAGAAACAGCTAGATTCTCTGCCTGACTCACCATTAGCTGGGCTTCAGCTTTGCTATGACTAACTTTATCTTTCTGTGCCTTGGTGTCCTTTTCCCTACAATTAGCCGGTTAGATGAGGTCAATAATTTTTTAAAAGAAGAGGAATTGAGACCAGTCTGAATCAACTGAGGAACTTTTGCAAAACATTGCTATGGGAGAATGTCTCCTATTACTTCTTTTTCTCCTCATCTCTCCCCAAAGTCACACAGTGTGAGCCACTCTTGCCACTGAGAAGTATGTCATCTCTGAGAACAACTGACCCAGATAATTGTTCAGTAAGAGTATATTTGAGATTATTGAAGACTTAAAAGCATCTCATTATTAAATGTGCGATATCATGTTTTTCACTTTAGGCTCCAACTCTTTTTGACTTGATAAAGTTTTATTGTGTTAATTTTGATCACTTTAATCTTTTATTGGATCGTTTTCTCACATTAAATTTAAATAGGAAGAACATATGTACTGATGTTTTGCCATAAACTCCGTTGTGCCTCAACTGGCTTCCAACTTCAGTCTATTCTGGAAGGCTGTACTTACAGGTCTCAGTCAGCGAGCTGAAACTGACAAAGGAGCGATCCACTTCTCAGCTGTAAAGTTGTACTTACCTTGTTTTCATGAAACCAACCTCCGTTTCCAAGGAAACAAGAACAAAAAGGCAGTTGGCAGCTAGTATGTGGGACTTAGAACTCTCGCATGTCAATTTCAACTGCTGGCTGCCGGCTCAAACCTAAAGGTGTGGAGTATTAAAATCACCTTCAGACTTTTAACATACAAACGAATATTAAGGTTTTTCCTTAGTGTTTAAATAATCAAGTTTAATAGCTAACAATTTAAAATATCCTTTGAAATACCATAGCAAATTAAATACATTACAATTGTCAAAATAATCTAATACAAAAACTTAAGTTTTATTTTAAAACAGTAGGCACATATATTGCAGAGAAATTTTCTGTTTTACACCATAAAGTTGTTCCACTTTCTCCTTTTTGCTTAATTGCTTTACTTTCTCCTTTTTCATCGATTCATACATTCCCAACTCCTTACTTCTTTTTCTTTTTTTCTTTGATTCATGCAATATATCCAGATATTGTCTGTTTTATCCATAAAGCTTTGTGGCCATGCTTAGTGTTTTAACAAAGTGTTTTAATGATGAAACATGAAAATGCACATTGCTATTTTTCTCTAAAAATATAATTTCATGATTCTAGGCTTGGATACCCACATTAACACAATCTGTTTCTTCCAAATAGCACTTGTTTTTTTCACATGATTATGCACTTCAGAGTTCACGGCAGTCCTCATCATTCCTTGCAGTCTCTAGGCCTTCTACTTCACAGCTTTTAGATACGTTTTGAGTTTTTAGACTCCTGCTAAAAGACAATTCTGATTGGTATGGAAGATATGTGCAGGAATGGGATAAGATATTTTTTTGCCTGGAAAGCAGAAACTTGTGGAAATTCTTTAGGCATTTAGATATTCCCAGGAAATGACGAATAATTGTTAAGAAAATGGAATTTCAAATTGATAATTATACTCTATCTTTTGTTATATTATTATATATTATCCTACTATTTAATTACCAGCTTTTTATGTTATCCTACTATTTAATTACCAGCTTTTTATGTTATCCTACTATTTAATACCAGCTTTAAGTTAAAAATGTAGGTCTTTTAGAATTTCCCTCTTTTGACTGTTTTGTCACTTTTACAGTATACTAATGTCCTTTGAAATCCAGGATACCTGTGAATAGATACTAGTGGGTGAAATATTACAAAAAATTGTCCAGGATGTAATTTATCAGATTTGTGATGTGGACTTACTTATTACATTTTATTGGTACCCCATTCCATAGTGGGTTATAAGAATAAATTTGTATAATTTTGGAAATTGTGTTGTTAGATGTCTGCAAACAAATATGCTTACTTTTCTACAAAATAGAAACATGATAGATAGTGAGAAAATAAACTTAGCAAGGAACATTTTTATTGCAACTTAACCCTAATTTCTGTGTCCCAAAATCTGTCCTTGTAAAAATCTTTTAATGTATTTTTTTTTTTGTTGGTATGACATTCCAGTAATTTACACTTTTCAGTTGTAAATTCAGATCATGTTTAATGTTTTAAAATTTTTGGGAGTAGGCATATAAGATGCTCATGATCAACATCTTTTGCTACTGTTAGAAAGTCGACTTAGATGAAAAATCATGAGCACTTGCTTGAAGGCATAATAAAGACTATTCAAGAAATAGTTGCAAATAATTGATAATGTTTTAAGTATAAAATTTATCTCCTAAGTTTGAGAAACCTCCAAAATTGAAAAATGTTGCAAACTTTATGTCAAAATACAAATTAAGAAATAAAACCAAACTCAACATTATTGTTTTTAGATTTTTTAGTTAATATATCATTCATTTATCATAAAATTCACCATTTAAAAATGTACAATTTTATGGTTTCAGTATATTCACAATGCTGTACAACCATCACCACTAGCTGAAGGAATTTCTTTTGTCACTCTGAAAAGAAACCCCTTACTCACTTTCAGCCACTCTCCATTACCTTCCTCCATTCTCTGGCAACAGTTTACTTATTTTCTTTCTCTATGTATTTGCCTATGCTGGATATGTCATGTACAAAAAGAAATCATATAGTATATGACCTTTTATATTTGGCTTTTCTCATTAAGCATGATATTTGCAAGGATCATCCATGTTGCAGCATATAGTATATCAGTACTCTATGCTTTCTTATGTTGCATAAAATTCCATTGCATGAATATAATACATTATATTTATCCTTTTATCAGTTGATAAAATTTTCTGTTGTTTCTAATTTTGGGCTATTATGAATAATGTTGCTATGAACATTCATGTACATTTTGGTGTGAACATATGTTTTTGATTCTCTTGGGTATACACAAAGGATTGGATTGCTGGGCCATATGGTAAATCCAAAATATTATTTTAATTGAAATAATACAAACAATGTTTTGCAATGTTGGAAATGGGACAGAATATAGAAGAGTATACAATTTTATCCACAAAAATTGCTTTTAAAAGCTTAATAATAACAACAAAACACAAGAAAACCCCTGTCAAATATAGTTGTTCATAGAGTGATGCTTCTGTTTGTTTGTTTCTGTTTGCATTTTTGTTCTTATTTATATATTATGATTTTAGTAACAAAGGATTTCGCATGATATATTACTCAGAAATCAGATGTGTTAATTTCATGTTAAGTTCTGAAAATATAAAAATATGGGCTCAAAATATTTAGCTAAATTAGAAGTGGAGATATTATGAAGCTTAGTAGTCATTAGACATTAGTATCTGAAGTCAAAGATCATAATTACCATCTAACGCAAGAAGAAAATTATTTAATTTTAAGTACAGAAACCAAAGATACACTGTGTTCAGTAAGAAAACACTTCTAATTTTCTTCTATTACTCATTGTCAACATACTCTGTTACTGTGAAAATGCTTCAAATATACTATTTCATTGAAATGGAAAATTTAGACTAGTGTTTTTACTCATTTGTTTATTTTTCTGTAATAATAATATGTACCTGAGATTGGAGTTTCAGACTTCTTTCTCTCTCTGACTGTCTCTGTCTCTCTCTGTCTCTCTTTCTCTCTCTCTCTCTCTCTCTCTCTCTCTCTCTGTGTGTGTGTGTGTGTGTGTGTGTGTGTGTGTATGGATATGTTTTAAAGCATGAGTTTATACTTTAGAGCATATATGTATACACATATATGTATGTATATGCATGCATGTGTTCATTCTCTTTATAAATGGGAAAATTTTCTTACATGAATATCTCTGTGCTGTGGTCACATTTACCTGTGTTCAGCAATTTGCTTTCTTTTTTACAAAAAAAAAATGTATTTTTTTTACAAAAATCTTATTTAATTTAATTTTCTCCTCTTGAGAAGGGATGACAATAAAGTAACATCCAAAAAAATTAATCCAACGGTCTTTCTTGTTTTTCTAAAAAATTTCATTCAAACATTTCTTATTATTACTTATTGCACAAAGCATGTATGAATCAAATAAGTTTAAAATAAAATAATGGACTAGACAAGGTGTTTTATTTTAAAAATGAAATAAAAAGAAGGTACATGGCATATCTGATGCTACATCACACTCTGGGAGAGACTGCCCTTCCTTCATAGAGCCTCTCATTTCTTAATGTTGATCATTTTGCTCTTCTTCCCTGATAATACTCACTTACTCTCTTTCATTCTCTCTCTCTTTCATCTGTTCTTTTCTCTCCAATTATCCAATGACCCATCAAGGTACTTTGAGACTCAATACTTTCGCATATGGTTCAACTCAGATCGCGTAGTCTTCTCATTCAACCAGTTCAACTACTATTTCCTGAGACCCCACTATCCTTGCCTGTGTCAAGAGTTCCTGGACACACACACACAAAATTAGGATACTCCAGAAGTGCAAAATAAGACATCATTTTTGCTTTCTTGCAAATATAATTTGCATAATACCTCAAATGGGGAAAGGTAAAGATATGAGATAATGTCTATTTATAAAGACAAGAAAGTAAGATACACAAACTGGACTAGGGCAAGATAATTTCAAGGAAGGAGGATAAAATAGGATAAGTAAGTAACGGAGGGGGGACTATCCTACGATGTCTGAAAGTATATCCAAGGAGTTGTCCCATTTTCTGAAATTTTATAAACTAATTCCATACTAAGAGGATAAGGTACAAAAACTCCCCAAACTTAGACAGATCAAAGATGGTTACTGCAATGCGCAGTAAGAAAACATCTAATTTGAGTTACACCATTATAGAATGCAAGACACTTTGACAGGAAAAAAAAAATGTTCCAATAAGATCACAGATAAGTTGGTAATAAAATGTTTGAGTAGTAGATACCCCAAATGATGATATAGGTTCAGCTTTGGCCTATATATTATATAAATCAAGTTTTGGAGGTCTGAAAAGTTAAATGTCTTATTCAGAGTCACACAGTATGTTAAAACACAGTAAAAGCTAGAAATCAGATATTAACTCTTACCTTTTGAATGTAGATGTTCCCCCACACTGTAGTGCATGGGCGAGGCTTGTACATGGTATGATAGAATATATCCCTTGGGAGATTGTTAGAGAGACATGCATGCAATAGTAGAAGTAGCACTGAGGTCAGGATTTCCTACCCTGAAACCTTAAACAAAGGCAACTATTATATAACACATATGCACTTATATAAGCTTAATAATATATGATGCTATTTGTTGATTGTTTTCTATGCTCCAGGCATTAAATGAAAGTACAATATATATTTTTTTCACACTCACTTTGTTGGAAACTGAGGTTAACTGAGTAAAGTCACTTATCCTTTTTATATATCTGTTTTCTTAATTTTAATACATAACTATTTCTCAATAGATTTTCTAAAGAAAGAAACAATACCAAAACTGTGTATTTATTCATTTTAAATCACAATAGATACATAAAAATATAAATCTTAGACAAAACATAACAATGACATATACAGTTATACTGCACAGTATTTTCATATGTATATATATTACATTTGCTTCTTAGATTATTCATTTACTTTGAGAGAAAGCCATTAAGAAGATAAGGGATTATTGGTGATGTGTGGTCAATATTAAATTTAATGCAATGTGTTTTTTCCATGGTTTTAATTCAGCCACATTCTATGTCTGTCATGTCTCTACATTATAGAGTGAACTAATGAACCCTTAGTAATTATATAAGAGAGAGCAGAGGAAATTTCTACCAAAAAAAAAAAAAAAAAAAAAACAATTCTTAAAAAATGCTTAGTTATATTATCTCAGTGTAAACTTTTGAGTGAAAACAATTTTTTGAAATTCAGAAATACCTCTGTAATTCCATTTTATGTGTTAGTTTCTATTGTAAATCTCACCAAATCTGTAGTCTCATTAATGCAAAATTGTAAAATTGACTGATTTGAGCCATACATATATTCTTCTCCTGCCCATCAGATGTTGAAGGTGCTAATGAACTGTGAAATGGCCAAAGGCAAAGAGCCAGAGGGAAGAAAGTGAAGAAGCCACAGACATGGGTCACCACAAAATGAGTAATTAGTCATTGAGTCATGAGGAATTTAACTATGTTAAGACTCTGCCTGCTCCATGTATTTTTTATTAAAAATTTCTTGAGATGTAGCTCGAAGTCTATTTTCAGAATTTCTAAAGACTTTATCCATTTCATTGACTATAGCTGAAAAGACCCACACACTGAGAATCCTCAATATGGGTTTAGAATGGAATACATATCCACTCCTTTCATGAAAGAAAGATCCTTACATAATATAAGAAATGGATGAAGCTGGAAACCATCATTCTCAGCAAACTAACA